CCAACATCTTCCCTCAAGTGTGAGGCCCAATATCATTCTTACCCTAAGGGCAACTTCTGCGGAAGTCTCTTTTTTTTTCTCTTTCAAATATTAGGGTCACACTAGCCTTCTGCAGAGGCCTTCCAAACACTTGGCCCAGATCGTTGGCTCTGATACCACTGTTGGGAAATTCGTTCCCTCAAACTCCAATATCAAGCAGGTCCAGGGGAAGCCCGTGGCGGGGAACCACCACCAATGAGCTAAGGCTACACCAACCGTAGCAAGTGGATCTGACACCATGTCTCAACCCAAAACCTTAAGGCATTGGGTTCATGGGTCCTTTCACTTATATATTCTTCACTTAGCTCATTACCAACCAATGTGGGACTCATCACACTTGAATATCTCAACAATCTCCCCCTCAAGTGTGAAACCCACCATTGGTATGCTCCCCCTCAACCGAGTACCCGAAGCGTAAAGTACTCGACCCGCCTCTTAGTCAATCACTAGGCTAGCTCGAGCCCAATCCGGCTCTGATACCACTGTTGGGAATTGTACGGGGGAGCCCAAAACCCTTTGCAAAGGGTACATCCACCAATGGGCCAAATGACAAACCATAATAAGTGGGCCGACACCACATCTCAACCCAAAACCTTAAGGTTGTAGGTTTATGGGTCTTTTGCACTTATATGGTCATCACTTGGTCTATGTTTAGTCTATGTGATACTTCTTTACAACTCATACTTGATTATTTCCAACAGTTTTACCGGTAAGACACTCTTGAGTGAAGTCTTACCGATAAGATATAATGTAATTTGTAAATTTATATTATCAAACTTTTGTCTTAAATTATATTCCAATTTAAAAGAAAAATAATATAATATAAATTTACCTTTATTCATCCTTATTATTCCTTGTATATTAAAAAACTTTAAAAACCTTTTCAAATTTGGTTAACATTAATCCATTACCTAATTATTTTATAGCTTATATTTATCTCATTCAATATAAGATAATTCATCTTTTTACACACATAATAAAGGTGAGTTTTACCTCTGTTTATTTTTTTCTGTCCAATCATTTATGAGTCTCTTCTATAAATTCATTTCACTAACATAAGATAATTTATCTCCAACAATATAAGAAAATTATTTTCCTTATTCTATTTCAATTAATGTGAATTTTAAACCAAATAACCGTGGTGTCCATCTTATATTGAGCTGTATGCGACTTGGTTTTGTCAGCACTCTTTTTCCCCTATGCAACACATATTTAAACCAAATAGGAGTTCGACACGCAAAAGGGTAATCATATCATTGGTTAAATGATTGTTTTAATTTAAGATTGTTGTTCCACCTTGTCAACACAGGTGGCTTCCAACTGTTTTGAAAGAGAAGTTACTTCTTTCAAAAAAAAAGAAAAAGAAAAAACAGAAAAAAAGAAAAAGGAGAAGTTACTTGTGCTGGGGCAGTGCCGCAAAATTGAAAGATTCAAGAGGTTGAATATTGACCATGTGTGGTGATGGTGCTTTAGCAGGAAATTTTGTGGACAGAACTTGAGAAGGTGCAACATTTATCTATACAACATTTATATATACGCGTTCTCATTTCCCTCCTTTATTGCGTGCACTTGCTTCTTCTTTTTTAATATTGTTTTTAATTATTAGCGTCAGAGTCACGAGAAAGTTAATGTCAATAACATATTTTTTAATATTTTGTATACATATTCATTTTTTTTTTTTTTTTTAGGTTATTTTTTTTTTTTGTTGTTGTAAATTTAGGTTATTTTATTTGGAGCAGGATATACTTATTTTCAAAAACATTTACCACATTTTCAATTAACTTAATTACCGTTGATTTTCGTCAATTTAACGGTTATAATTTATTGAATTTATTTGAAATTAATAATAATTAATAAATACGACTCAATAATTTCCAACAAATTATAACCTTTAGATTGACGAAAATCAACGATGATTAAGTTGATTGTAAAGGTGATAAGCATTTTTGGTGGTAAGTATATCCTTTTCCATTTTATATTTTAATTTAATTTTTGAATTTTTATTAGAAAAATGAGAGAAAGATTAAATTCTAGATGCATTGTATCGTAGAAGTTTTAATATATCTTTAACTCAAAAGTATAAGGTATAAGGTATAAGATGAAGATATATATTTTATGTTATTTCTAAACAAAAAAATGTATCAAATAAAAAAATAAATAGTAAAAAAATTTATTTCTGTTTTAAAAAAAAAATTCATTAAAAATATTACAATTGTTGCAAATATTTTTTAAGATCATTCAAACGCACGTGGAGTTATTCAAAAGTAACCTTCAAAACTGTAGAATTTTTCTTACGAAAATTATTGATGAAAATTTTGTTGGATGTGATTTTATTTATGCAGTTATAGTTTAAAAATGATCGTCTATTAACTCTTTTGATTATTTTTAATTAATTAGAATATAATAAAATATTTAAATAATATATAGACAATTGGCCTTTTAAAATCATGATCGGTAAAATGAAAAATTGAAAAAGTAAAATTAAATTAATTATATTACATATACAAAATTTTGCTGAAATTAAGAGAAGAGATGTATGATCGAGTTATGTATTTTCTAAGGGCCGTTTGGTACGAAGTATTTTTTTGAATTTTTGGGAAATTGAATTTTTTTAAATTTTAAATTTTTAGATATTATCGTAAACTGAATGTAAAAATCATATTTTTGAAAATCGAGATTTCCGGATAAAAAAAATTTATTCTATACCAGACGTCCCCTAAGGAAAAAATGTTTGTATTTTTAAATGACACAACTTATATCTCTTCACTCTCACAAAGGGGTGGAACCCACATCTTTATATTTTTTTGTCCATTCTCTCTTCTCCTTTATCTGTTTCTTTCTCTCACTTAAAATGACATAACTTTACATCCTTTAAAATGATACACACTTTTCCCATTTTCTAATTATAGAATATGATCAAAATTTATAAAAAAAATTCATGCAATTTCAATTATGGTTTCTCCGGGCATTTTGTTTTCTTCCATGCGAGTTAGAGTAATACTGTAATAGTAAAGCGGGTGAGCTTAAGTATTTAGTTTTATCTATAATGCAGATTAAAGAAAATATTAAGAAGTAAATTAAGTAAAATTTGTAATTTAAGTAGAAGTTTTAGAAGAGGAAATATATAAGTAATAAAGTTAGTGAAGAAATTGTCGTGTAAGTAAGTGGAATTATGGCAATGATCTATACTAAAAAAACTATTCAATAACCTAATTAAATTAAGATATGAAATATTATTTGAGGTTAAGTTCTTAAGGAAGATTGGGAAGCCCAATTTCAAGTAGAAGGAAAAATGGAAGAGAAATTTATGATGCATGAATAAGGTGAGGTGGCATATTTGTTGATGGGCAACTCAAACACCATTTGACGGCTTTCCAACAATGAGAAAGAGTCACGTTCCACTCATCCCCTCATTATTCGGGTTCCATTTTGGTCTCAAGCTAGAAGCTTAAAATTAACTACTATCAAACAAATCATAGTAATTCATTTGGTGTAAGAAAGTTAGTTAAACAAGTGAGGGTAAAAATATGTATTAGATCATCTTCAGTACTATTTTTTGAAGAGGTTCGTTTTAATTATCAAATTTGTCCTGAATCGAACTAGTTACGAAATGATGAAATAATTAAAATAGGGACATGTTATATTTACAAACTTTTTTGTTTAGAAACTCTTACAAATTACACTATATAGGACCGGTCCTACATTAATCACACAGTGTACGACTGATCCTACATTAGTGTAATTACAAAAAAAAATTGTAAACGGATCATGTCTCATTAAAATATATGCAAAGAAAGATTAATTTTTTTTTACTTCATGATGCCATTGCCCGTGTAGATTCTACTAATAATTTTTGTTCCGGAATACGAATTTCGTAATGGAATATACGAATTCAGATGGTTACATTCAGCTCTATTATGAAAGATATTCATCATTTGGTTATAGAGGACAATGAAATAGCTAATTTTCTGACCAAAAAGATGGGAAACAAGAGTGGTGTTATTGTGTACGGTGGCAACTGGCACCTACCCTTTCTCTCCATTTTGTGCTGATGCAGCTGGCATATTCTCCTTTTTACTGTTTTTATTTCCTTCTATAGAACCAAAACAAAAGAAAGAAAAGAAAAGAAAAATCAGAATTTGATTCTAGAACTTAGTCAAAAACAAAAAACCAGACTAAAAAAAACCAAAAAAACTTAACAAATTAAATTAGCTGTCACATTCTTGGAGAAGTGAACATTATAATAATCATTGTATATTTGTACCAGTTTGATTGGACATGGTATTCTAAAATTAAACGTAAACGTAAACGTAATTGAATAAATTAATGCAATATAATATTAAAAAACCATGTTGCTGAAGCAATCCTTTGTCTATATAAACACCCTTATGCCCCTCTAGTTCTTCCCCCCTCTTCCTCTTGCTTCCTTTCATATCTTTGCTTTTCTCTCTAAGCTTTGCTTCTTCATACCCTCTTCTCCTTTGGCCTTACCCTTCATTGATTATTCTCTTTCTGGTAAGCTAATGGCTTAAGCTGTTCTTTCATGTAGAGCATTTTTTTTTTCTCTGTTTTATTTTTCAGTCATTGCCCTGAACCTTTCATCCCAATATCATTTAAACATAAATGACATTCACCAATTATTACCATAAGTACGGTTTTAAGATTTTGGTTTATAGAATGGAACAAATGTTTGGAATTAAGACATTTTAACACCTTGTTTTTCCTTTATTATGAAGAGGCTAAAAATTCTGCATTGCTATTAAGTCTTTTTTATTTTTATTTTTCTTAAATAACCCGCTTTATACTTTCAGTTCAATCCCAAAAGTTTGTTTTGTGAGCAATTCTATACTTACAAAAGTTTGTGCACTTTGGAAAGTGATTTCCTCTGTTACACAAACTATGTTCAAAGAGTATATTAATAGGTTACTGCTCTTTCCTATAAGTCCTCCTTTCTTTGTAGTACACTTCTTGTGGCTGCTATTTTTTCAAATTGAAAGCCACTTTTGAGCTTTCACAAGTTTCTTTAAGTTCTGTACCCCAAAGGGGCACTGTTTCATCATTATTTTTTTCTTCAAATTCAACCCATTCCACTGGTTGTGGATTGTCCACTCTGAAACTTCACGAAGCATTATCCCAAATAGTTTGGATTGTTCCCCTGATTGTCTTCCCTTATGGATCCTTTTGCCACTTTTGGTGCTAATCTGAGTCAATAAGAGCATCTTTATGTTCCAAAAGCCATGAAGATCTGTAGATTGAGAATCAAAATGAATTCCCATATAAATTTTGTTAAGTTCAAGTTGTCATGGAACATAGTGTTTACTTTGTTTTCTGTTCTATGTTTAAGGTTTACTGATCAAAATGGAGTGCTTCAGACAACAGGCTCAGAGACAAAAATATGATTGCCTTCTTTTTGGTAAGCGTTGTTATCAGAACAACTTTCAAGTACCAACTTGAAATTTTCATATTTGTGTATGTTATTATAACTATAAGATTATTATGCAGATTTAGATGATACTTTGTATCCCCTCAGATCTGGTCTTGCAAAAGCATGTCTCCAAAATATTAAAGGTAAGAGACTGTACCATACTTGTGCCATAGTATTCTCAGTAATAATGTCTTTATAATTGTTGCATCTTTTGGTATTAACATGAGTGGTATCATTGATCTCAGACTACATGGTCGAGATGCTTGGCATAGAACCAAGCAAAATTGATGATTTGTCCAACCTCCTTTATAAGAACTATGGAACAACTATGGCTGGTCTAAGGGTATGATTTTATTTCCTTATTCTTCCTCATCATTTCGTGTGAAAATTTCATTGTTAAATACTGAAAATACTCATAACCTATATATTGTTTTGTTTCATTTTCTATTCAGGCAATTGGATATGACTTTGACTATGATGAATATCACAGGTACCTTTGCTTTTTTCTTCTACCCCATCAGTTTCAAACTGATGACTAGTGATTTTTTTTATTTTTTTTTGAAATGGTATCATTGATTTCTGAATTACTACTTTCAGTTTTGTTCATGGGAGATTGCCTTATGAGAATTTAAAACCAGACCCAATTCTGAGGAACCTGTTGCTGAGCCTGCCCTATAGGAAACTTGTAAGTTGTTTATAACCAAAATGGAAGTAGTAGAATAAGGTCACAAAACATGGTGCATAATCTAATGTGACATCTATTGCTTCTCTTGTTTTTGTCAATAGATCTTCACAAACGCAGACAAAGTCCATGCGGCTAAGGCACTTAAAAGGCTTGGATTAGAAGACTGCTTTGAAGGAATTATATGCTTTGAGACCCTTAATCCAATCCACAAGATCACTGTGTCTGATGATGAAGATGACATTGAGTTTTTGGGTTCAAGGAGCACCAAGCCAACCGCCAATAATGGTGCAAGTAACTCTCAAATATTTGACATCATAGAGCATTTTGCTAAGCCCAATCCCAATGCAGTGTTGCCAAAGACACCAATTATCTGCAAACCATCAGAAAATGCCATTGAATTGGCTCTCAAGATAGCCAACCTTAACCCACACAGAACTGTAAGAAAATCACCCTTTAGCCTTTATGATCTATTTTTGTTACCTTTTATCATCTTTTTCCTCTCTTTTTTTTTCTGTTTGTTTACATTTTCTTTGGTTCTATATGTCACTTTCAGTTATTCTTTGAGGACAGTGTCCGCAACATACAAGCTGGAAAACGTGTGGGACTTGACACTGTGCAGGTAAATCATTGGAAACATATTAGTTCTATAATAGAAAAGGACTTTTACTTAGAGCAATTATTATTGGTTTCTTTTTAATGTGCCTGAACTCAGCATGAACTAATTTGAGGCTCTACTTATTGATTGCCACATATAGGTTGGTCCATCTCAAAGAGTTAAAGGTGCAGATTATGCCTTGGAAAGCATTCATAACCTTAGAGAGGCACTACCTGAATTATGGGATGCTGACATAAAATCAGAAGTTGCATACCCTGGGAAGATTGCTGTGGAGACATCAGTGACAGCTTAAAGATTATGTGCAAGGAAACCCCTTTAATCATTGTTCATAATGAATTGAAAATCCAACCACAATGACAAAAATGAACAAAAATGTGAAGCCCATGGGGATTCCCCAACTTCAGATCTAGTAACTGTAGCTGATTTAGATGCTTTGTTAAGATTATAATAAATTAGTATATAAAATAAATTCTCCTTTTTGGCCTTACTTTGTCCATAACTTATTATCTTCCTTGTTCAATAACATTCCCTCAAAGGGATTTCATTTTTCATGGAGGTGTGATGAAGTTTCCATTAAAGTATATGATTATTGATGCAGTGGGACATGCAAAATAAACTTCACACACCAAAATAAACTCTCAAGAGGTAAAAATTTGGTTAAAATAAAAAAATAAAATTAAGATAGTAAAATATAAAGTGAATGCAAATATCTTAAATTGTAATCTTACAATTAATTATATTGTGATATGTCAAAACGATCCTTATCCAGAAATATTAATTAAAAGCAATCGGATTTATGTAAAAGCAAAATGTCATAATTTGCTTGTATTATTAATTTTTGTTACCTATAATGTCTTGAAAGTATACATTGTATACAAAGAGATTAAAAATAAAAAGGAATTGACCAAGTCACACACACACACACACACAAAAAAAACTATGATTTGATAGCTTCCCTTAAGAGAATCATAATACGTAGAAGTTTTAATAATTATCTCACATAATATAAAACTCCGGCAAAACATTCAAGATTCAAGCATGAATTAACTATGATTCATTTCACATTAGTTGTCTCACAATTATTTGTGAAATGTTCATAGCAATCATATAATTAATTGGAAGCTGAAATTGTCAATACCACGATATTGTGATGCTATATACTTTAATATAAAATCAACTTCTAAGTAAAGTAAGTTTGACGGATATAAAAACATAACATGTTTAAAGTGCATAACATACTTTAATGTATAAAGAGATTTGTATGATAAGTACGCAAGTTGTTTAATAAAATTAATATTTGTACTCTTAAACCAAAGCTCCATGTCTCCATCGTCAAGGATGATTATTAATTCTGCTTAAATGATTAACTACAACGGACGAACCAATGTGAACAATGAAAAAATATATATTGTTAATTACTACGTGGCTGAAGATTATGACAAATTGAATAGTTATCCTGAGTTTCTCACACACGCACGCATATATATAAAACGATTTTGTTATAAAACTAAGAGAAATGAAGGAAGAAAATATAAATAAGATGAAAACATGAACTCTTAGGAAGTAGGAGAATATCACCAACTTTTATTATTGACTTTTCATAAAATACATATCCTTATATAAGACTCAGAATGAATAAGGAGAATAATTACATATCAATGCAATATTATGTTTGATGGTTACAATTCATACCAAAAGTTATAGGCAACCAAAAGGTCATAACAAAAACTCCCTGAAATTCCAATAGTCATCCACACATGCTTCTTTTGTATGTTGAACCATTAATCCGTCAAGGTTTGCTTCTATTGATCACTAGGAAATTATGGTACTCGCATTTGTGAATACATATTCTTTTTGTAGTTGCACCTTTTATGGATCTGATAAATACCCAACATTTGCATACCCAATAACTCAGATTTTGAATTCTTTAGAAAAAAAATGATCTCATATCATGTGTTTCACAAATATAACGAAATACAAGTTTTATTCCATTCCAATGCCTTTGTGTTGGAGTAGGGCTATATGTTCTAAGAACATTTACAGAAAATATTATATATCAGGTTACATATTATTAGTAAGATACATTCAAGCCTCAATTGCATTTAGATATGGTACTTTAGGACCAATGGCTTCTTCATAATATTTTCGAGGACAGAAAGAATCTTTCTCGATGTAAGAGATCAAACAAAATGGTTGAACTCAATTTATGAGTTTTATCAATGTTAATATGTTTCAACATCTTCTCTATATAATTTGATTCATGAAAAAATATTTCATTAGATGAATGCTCGATCTGCAAGTCAAGACAAAATTTTGTTACTCCAAGATTTTTCATTCAAAATCGTTTTATACACATTTTGCAATTTTCTCAAGCTCTTCAAAAGTTTCAATGACATTTAAATCATCAACATATACTTCAATAATCATAAATTCATATATCGATATGGACAGATGGAGTTATTTGTCAATACTTCTTTGATATGATGTTCACTGATATGATTGTTCCATATTCGTTCATGTTGTTTTAAATACATACAAAGACATTTTTAATTTTATGAAATACAACTCTTAAGGTTTTGAGTTATATGTTTCAAGCATTTTTAATCCTTCTGGGACTTTTATGTATATGTAGCTATCAAATGATTTATATAATTAAGCAATAAGGATTTTTATATGTATATGCCATTACCCAGTTATCCATTAAGGATATTATCTCTACATTCATTAGATGTATGTTAAGAGCCCTTCAGACAATGTAAAACTAATCAAATATATAAAAGTAGTTATATCCATAATAGGATAATATTTCTACAAAGATATATAACTAAAAAGTTGTTGGGTTTGTGCTATTTTACTAAAGCCCAAATGGGTTAAGAGTATGAGAAGAGCCTAAGAAACCTAGAGTCCAATGAGCTTAGAGCTAGGGTTTCTTGGAACACTTATAAATACTACCACTTAAGTCATCAGCCTCCTAGGTGATTTATGAACAGAGAGGTAAGCTCATATCTGAAAAGTGCTCACACACTTCTCCTTCCCCCTCGAGAGATAGTTTGGAAGGTTTACCATGACCGAAGAGATCTGTTCGTGTTGTGACGCAACAGTTCGTGAGTTCGTGCTTTGATGCAAAGGACTCAACCGTGTGGAGCATTATCTTAGATCTACGCTAACAAGAGGTAATTGTAAACTATGATGATCCTATACATCCAAACTACAATGGTTTAAACGCTTTCGCATGACCCAATAACTCCTACAATTGGTATCAGAGCAGGATTGCGTGTTTGGATATGGATCTAGTTTTAATTTACAATTTCATGTAATTAGTTTTGCTTCATAAAATATGGCACCTAGGGTTTCTATGTTTATGGTATGAATTTTGCATGTGTATCCTATAATTCTTTTCATTAAAAATCAATTCTTTAATTGGTTTTGGCTTTAATCCATGGTAGAAATTTCATTGTATTTTCTTAGGTAGTAACAAGGAGGCTAATCCCATATGATTAGGTTTTCTCCTTGATTTTTATTTTAATTTTGTATATTTTTGATGTTTTTCAAATTAAATTGTAATAAAAGAAGATCAAGAAAATGCAAAAAGAAGGACGTTCGTTGCTATTTGGACATGTTCGTGACTTTCTGGTGGCCGATTTCAGAAACCAACCACATAGCGTGAAAGGGGACAGAAGGACGAGAATAACGGTGGTTGGAGCACCGCGAACGGATGTCAGACGCGCCCTCACGCGTCGCCTGAAATGGCTCTCGTAGGCCTCACTCGCTGGTACAAATCTGGCGCGTGGCAGCCCTGATCGTGGTGGTTCCGACGGCGGCGGATTCGTCTCTTCAAGGCGGTCCTTCCCCTGGAGTTTCATGCTGAGATGAGTTAAGTTGACGGCGCAGTGGACATGACAGCAAGGTTTCCTGAAAGTTGACTTAGGGTTTCTCGCCAAAATTTGGTATTTTGGGCCTTTGGGCCTATGGTTACCATAAAAAGGACTTGAAACAGAACCTATGGACCATAAGGAAGGAGAAAATCAGCTGCAAAGTTTCCTATTTATTTATGTTGTAATTTTATATTTTTTTAGGAAACCATAGATTAAAGTTTTTAATAAATAATTGCTTTATTTGTATGAATGGATGGATTATATGATTGATAACATGCTCTATATGATAACATGCCATATAGAATAGGTGGTGCCATATTGTTGCATACTTGTATGATAGTTACATGAGCATAGTAGCTGTTATGTCTTCAGCGACTAATATGATAGTTACTATGGGATTATTTGCATTTTATATTATCCTTAAAAATTAATTAATAATTATTATGATTTTTGTTAAAAAAACTAGATTAATAATTGAATTAATTAATTTTGGATAATTAAAATCAAGTCAAATGATCTAGAAAATTTCCGAAGAGAATTCTTTATTTTGCGAGTAATTTGTAGGTCTTCTAAAATGATCATGTGTTAAACACACGCTGCATACCACAATCATGTATCATGATTGTGTAGAGTACACACTGCCTATCATGACCGGATTTTAGGACCTTAGTGATTTCAAAATTCAGATAAGCTAAGTGTTGCATGTTCATCGGCGCTCTTACTTATATAGTTTTTGAAATCAAACAAAGGTTACTCCCAAATTAAACAAATTCTTGGAAATTTGAAAATTCTAAAAATTAAAATATTGAATGGGTGAAAGTTTTAAATTAAGTAATTAATATTAAACCTCGAGGGCTCCATTTGTGGGTCCATTAATAAAATGGTCATGTGAAGCTGCGACGGATAAGCATGAACAAATTTTATTTGATTGGACCTTAATAAATTCAAAATTTTAGTAAAATGTTGGATGGCCCGTCGTCGGCAACATTTTACTTATATAGTTTTTGAAATCAAACAAAGGTTACTCCCAAATTAAACAAATTCTTTGAAATTTGAAAATTCTAAAAATTAAAATATTGAATGGGTGAAAGTTTTAAATTAAGTAATTAATATTAAACCTCGAGGGCTCCATTTGTGGGTCCATTAATAAAATGGTCATGTGAAGCTGCGACGGATAAGCATGAACAAATTTTATTTGATTGGACCTTAATAAATTCAAAATTTTAGTAAAATGTTGGATGGCCCGTCGTCGGCAATATTTGGATACTAAAGATAATTTTAAAATTAAACAATGGTTAATTACATTCAAATTTGGTAAAGTTATTAACCCTCCCAACGAGGCTCTGATAATAGCACCGAAGGCCCAAATAATAATTTTTAGTTTTTACAAGTGACTTGCCCGATGTAAGCCTTGTAAAGATAAATTGAAGGATTGTTAACAATAAAACAAAAAGTAGTTATTAGAATCTACTTGCGATTAATTTGTTTATTGCATTTCAAGTTTGTAATTTGTGTGCTTTATATATTTTTCAGAAACATGTCATCTTTCAATCCTTTAGCTACTATCTTGAGTAAAAAATCTATGGATGGTAAAAACTACAAACAATGGAAAACCAATTTGGATATTGTTCTGCAATATGAAAAGCTCAACTTTGTCTTGACTACTCCTAAGCCAGCGCAACCTGCTGAAATTGCGTCTGAGGCAACAAATACCCAGTTTTCAAATTGGGAGAAGGCAAATGTTGCAGTTTGCTGCTACATTCGGGCCAGTCTCGCCAATCATCTGTAGAAACAAGTGAGCATGATTGAGAGTGGATTAGAAATGCTCAAGACTCTTGATGGCATGTTTGCTATTTCTATCAGTTCAGCAGGGCAGAATGGGCTGATTGCGGTTACCAAAATCACCATGACTGGAGGAAGTGTGCGGGATCATTGTTTGACAATGATCGCAAACTTCAAACAAGCGGATGACAATGTGATCAAATTTGCTAAGGAGGTGAAAGTTGACCTACTTCTACAATCACTTCCTGAATACTTCAATCAGTTCAAAATAAATTATAGTATGAACAAGATGAATATGGATCTTACTCACCTAATGCACGATCTTGAGAATGCTGAACAGTCTCTGGTCAAGCAGGTAAGTGCATTTTTACTGCTGAGAGTTCTGTTAAGCCTAAGAGGAAACCCAAAAGAGGTAACGAGAACAACAAGAAGAAGAGATCAGGTATTTCAGTTCCCAAACCATTTGCAATGAAGCATCCAAAAGGTAAGTGCTTTAAGTTCGGACGAAAGGGGCATTGGAAGAAAAATTGCCCACGTGTGAACTAACCAGATATGGGTAATTTACTTGTAATTGAGGCTTGTTTAGTGGGGAATTACAATGATAAATGGATCATTGATTCACGAGCCACTAACCATGTTTGTTACTCTTTGCAGTGGTTCAAACATAGTTTGCCTATCAGTCAAGGACAAAGAATTTTAAAGCTTGGAAATGGGGAGCTTGTGTCTGCACTAGCAGAAGGACAAGTTGTTTTATCATTTGATAATTTTTGAACTTTGGTTTTAGAAGACTATTTATTTGTTCTGAATTTTAAGAGGAATTTAATTTATGTTAGTTGTTTGGTTAAACATGGTTTGACAGTTCAACTTAATTCCTCAGTTTCAATAAGAAGTTCATCTTCGTTTATTTGTTCCGGTACATTGTTTAATGGTCTTTATTTCCTTAGTCCTACACCCCATGAAATTAATCATGTTGAATTTGGAGACGATGAGCATATTCATTTATCTAAGAAAAGAAAAATTTCAAATGAAACTTATCTTTGGCATTTGTGATTGGGTCATATTAACTATAATACGATACAAGGTTTGGTCAAGAGTGGGATTATAAAATCCCTAGTTTTTGAACCAATACCAGTATGTGAATATTGTTTAAAGGGTAAAATGAGTAAGCGATCTTTTAAGGCCAAAGGAAATCGTGCCACACTTCAGCTGGAATTGGTACATACAGATGTATGTGGACCAATAAATGTCTAGGCCAGAGGCGGGTCATAACATTCACTAATGATTACTCAAGACTTAGACACGTGTACCTGATACGTCATAAGTCTGAAGCTTTTGAAAAATTTCAAGAGTTCAAGGCTGAGGCAGAAAAGCATCTTGGTGTTCAATCAAGACTTTTCGGTATGACCGAGGTGGTAAATACATATCTGGAGAGTTTAGGTCTTACCTGACTAAAGAGGGGATAGTTTCACAATTATCTTCTTCAGGTACACCCCAGCAGAATGGAGTTGCTGAAAGGAGAAATTGGATCCTTTTAGAAATAACAAGATCCATGCTCAGTTATTTGTCTCTACCTAAATTATTCTGGGAATATGCCTTAGACACTGCCATGTACTTGTTGAATAGAGTTCCATCAAAATCTGTTTCAAAGACACCCATTGAATTATGGAAAGGGTATACACCCAAATTTAACCATATTCGGATTTGGGGTGCTCCAGCATATGTCTTAAAATAGAAGCCACATAAGATGGACTCACGTACAGAAGTGTGCATGTTTGTGGGCTATCCTAAAGGAACCAGAGGTTGGATGTTTTATAGTCCGAAAGATAAGAAGGTCCTAGTTAGCACTCACACGACTTTCTTAGAGGAGGACTATATGGAAAATTTCAAGCCAAGAAGTACGGTTACTCTTGATGAGCTTGTCTCAAATCAAGTTTTACCTCAACCTCAGGTGGTTCCAACTTTTGTTCTTGTGGTTGTTCAAAGAAGGGAAAATATACCTGAAGGTGAACATACACAGGAACTAGATATAGAACCAAATGTTCAGCATGATGATCAATAAGTGGAACTATAGAAATGCAAGTACCACTTGTGGAAGAACAAAATCCAGAATTGGTTAACCCACCAAATGGGGGTCCTCAAGAAATTGTTGATCCACCAAACTTTGATCCTCATGTAGATGCACAACAACAAGTGCGACAAAGTCGTGGTGGGAGATTGATTTATAAACCCGCAAGATATCTCTTGTTGGGTGAATCAAATTAGGATGTCTCTATTGAAAAAGATGGTGACCCCATTAGTTATGACGAGGCACTAGAAGATGTTGATGTTCAAGAGTGGCTTGGAGCTATGAACCGTGAGATGGAATTTATGTATTCAAACTCAGTTTGGTCTCTTGTAGAAGCACCTAAAGGGATAAAACTCATAGGGTGTAAATGGATCTATAAGAGAAAGAGAGGATCGGACGGGAAGTTTGATACCTTCAAAGCTAGATTGGTGGCAAAAGGGCACACCAAAATAGAAGGTGTATACTATGAAGAAACCTTTTCGCTGGAAGCTATGCTCAAGTCCATCCGGATTCTCTTAGCTATTGCAGCAAGTCTTGATTATGAGATTTGGCAAATGGATGTCAAAACTACTTTTCTAAATGAAAATCTGGAAGAACATATCTATATGCAATAACCAAAAGGGTTCATAACAAAAGAGCAGGAACATATGGTATGCAAGTTGCAAACATCTACTAATGGACTCAAGCAAGCATCCAGGTCATGGAACATTAGGTTTGATCAAGCCATTAAATCTTATGGTTTTGAGAAAAGCCCTTATGAACCATGTGTGAATAAAAGGATCCAAAGGAATGCATTATCTTTTCTGGTGCTTTATGTAGATGATATACTCCTTATCGGAAATGATACAGAGGTGTTGTTAGGCATAAAAACCTGGCTTTGCAAGCATTTTGATATGAAGGATCTTGGGGAAGCAAATTATATTCTTGGTATTAAACTCTTACGAGACTGTAAGAATAAGATATTGGCATTGTCCCAGGCTATTTACATTGACGAGATCCTTGCCAACTTCAGCATGGAGAATTTCAAGAGGGGAATTTTACCCTTCAGACATGGGATCCGTCTCTCTAAGGAGCATTCACTTAAGACTCCTGAACAGAGAGAACGCATGAGTAGGATACCTTATGCTTCAACAGTAGGTAGTCTCGTGTATGCCATGTTGTGTACTAGACCAGATATTTGCTATGCAGTGGGAGTAGTAAGTCGATACTAATCTGATCCTGGAGAAGAACATTGGATAGCGGTTAAACATATACTCAAGTATCTTCAAAGAACGAGAGATTATATGTTGGTCTATTCTAGTGGGAGTCTTGAAACCATTGGTTACTCAGACTCAGATTTCCAAGGAGATATTGACTCAAGAAAGTCAACCTCAGGCTATGTGTTCACTCTTAATGGCAGGGCCATTTGTTGGAGGAGTATCAAACAATCGTGTGTGGCTGACTCTACCACAGAGGCTGGGTATATGGCTGCATCTGAAGCTGCAAAGGAAGTCGCATGGCTGAAGAAGTTCCTTGCGGATCTTCAGGTGATACCTAGTGCTAGTCGTCCCATCACTCTTTACTATGATAGCAGTGGGGCAGTAGCACAATCCAAGGAACCGAGGTGTCACAAAAGACAGAAACACATAGAGAGGAAGTACCACTTGATCCGAGATATCATTGAAAGAGGAGATACAGTGGTAACCAAGATAGCAACGAAAGAAAACCTTGTTGACCCTTTTACCAAGAGTTTGCCTGAACATGTATTTGAGAGGCATGTTACATCTATGGGTCTTAAGAGGGTTCCGGACTTACTATAGCTTTAGGAGATTGGATTTTACTTTGTTAATTGTATGCTATTTGAGCAAGATATTATGACATTGTATTTTTCTAAAAGTTTTAAATGAGGTATTATTCATTTATTTTGCACACTATTTACAAACAACATGGTCAGGATCAATTGTGGAGTATATGATCATATGGATACGTTCATAGAGGACATGATCATAAGTTCTCATAATTGATGAATAAATTTACAGCTGTTAAATAAAGTTGGGCACTCTATTTAGGCTGCAATATTTTATAAAATGATTTTGTTCGATCATTGTAAATATTGGTATGAATTAACATTCACATTGAAAGGATCATTGTGAGATTTGATTAAAGTTGTTTTTTCTGTCATAAGGTATCAAATCTCTAGTTAACTATAGTTATGTGATTGCTCATAATCTTAAGTTTATTATAAATAGGTAATCAAAGAGTTTTCATTCTTTTATTTACCAACGGGTGAGGTTCGATATATTGACGACCAATAACTCAGTATTTTGGGAGTGAGATTATTTGATTATCGGTATTTATGAGATAAACAACATGGAATTTGTAGGATATATCCCCTTGATATGTTTTGGTACTTGGATATTAAAGACACTAGCTAGTGCATGTAATCCATTAGAGAAACTATCTTAGTCAAGGGAATAAATAATTGATTGAGTTACAAAAAACTTGTCAATCAATTATAGACATTCTACAAAAGGGGCTATGCATATTCATGTTATAAGTGTTGTTAATCTTGGAGTTCAAGTTCGGGCTTTTAGTGGAGTATCACCGAATTAGATAATCATTCGTTGATTATCAGGAGCCTTGATTAATAACAGATGGTAGATCTCCAAGCTAGCTTGAGATAAGGGATTGGGTGTTTTTTTCAGTTAATGGTGACTTATGGGTTACATGGTCTTGGGTTTTTTGACTCAAGTTTGTATTCAAAGGAGCAAGTGGGAGATTGTTGGGTTTGTGCTCTTTTACTAAAGCCCAAATAGGTTAAGAGTATGAGAAGAGCCCAAGAAACCTAGAGCCCAATGAGCTTAGAGCTAGGGTTTCTTGGAACCCTTATAAATACTACCACTTAAGTCATCAGCCTCTTCGGTGATTTTTGAACAGAGGGGTAAGCTCAGATATGAAAAATGCCCACACACTTCCCCTCCCTCTCGAGAGATAGTTTGGAAGGTTTACCATAACAGAAGAGATCTGTTCGTGCTGTGACGCAACAGTTCGTGAGTTCGTGCTGTGACGCAAAGGACTCAACTGTGTGGAGCATCATCTTAGATCTGCGCTAACAAGAGGTAATTGTAAACTATGATGATCCTATACATCCAAACCGCAATGGTCTAAACGCTTCCGCATGATCAAATAACTCCTACAAAAGTCATACTATATATTTTGTGATTTTCATTTAACTTATCCCAATTTTTGTTTAACGTCTTCAAGTGGCTAGACTACAGGTCCGAATATACTTTATGATTGCATAACGAATCCAATATAACTTTTATTTCTTCAATCTGTTTTAGTCAATTAGCTCGATATCGACATCCTTATATAGTTTGAGGTTCATGATCATTATCATTAACATTTTTAAAAGCAATTATATTTGTAAAAATATTATCAACAATAATGTCATATCTTTATATTTCTAGGTTTTAAGGAGATCTCATAACTTTCTAATACTGGGACAACTTATGAGGTTGCTTTTCTAGAAATATGAAATAGTTAATTTGTATAATCCTTGACCTCTTCTGGAGTGTCATTTAAAGTTTATCTCTTTTAGTCAAAGAGTGATATGTTTTGCACTAATATACCACACTTCTCGTATACTTGTAGGATGTCCTTCAATGGAAATTAATCGCACAATCATGTTTGCAATTGATACATATGATTTAGTGCAATATTTTTGGGTATTTGTAAAAATTTATGACAATTCTTTTGCAATATTCTGCAAATAAATTATTTTTTGAAGTTCAAGTTCGAATCGATTTGTGTGTATATCAAGATTGGATAATGTTGGTATGTCCCAACAAATTTTATGTACCTTTGGCCATTTACCTTTTTCTTCCCTAATGATGGGAAAACTATTAATAGATGGAAAGTCCAAACCAACACATATTCTAAAAGGAGCTCATGGACCTATCTTAATTCCTTGAGATGGTGAAATATGGTAAAACATAACCAAAATCTAAGATGAGATATATTAGGTTGTTGATCAACCATAAATTATAAAGGTGAAAACTTATGATATACAAATGGTCATATACAAACCAAAGATGCAACATGCACCATAACAGATTTCTAAGCATATATAAGTGTTGATCTCATAAGCATAGTTCATAAATAAATTTCAAATAATTAATATAAAATTCAATGTAACTATTATGAGAGTAAACATATACAATAAAATGTTCAATACTAATTTATATTGATATGCAATAGTTATAAAAAAAAAATTAAAGTAAATTGACATGTTTTATCAAGATGAGCTAGCATCTTGATAGAATGATCACTAAACTTGATCTTAACTATATTTTTGAGCGAGAATGTTTAGTAATATTTTGAGTTGAAAGTAAACAGTTACGTGACAATTGAGTAAAAATATTAGTTAAAATTATAAAATATCAAATAATGGTCTACAAGATAAATGATATAATGAATAAATATCACATTCAACATATTTTAGAAATTCTAAAAACTCAACCGTGTTTTACGCAGTGATACTTTAGAGTTAATATGCATTAAGAATATTTAACACATGAAAATTTCTTATTGTTAAGAACTTTCTAATTCATTGATAGATATCCATATGAATTTTTTTTTATACATGAAGAAAAGCTAAAAAAAACAAAAGGAAAAGAATCAATCGCCACCCCTAATTCGAGGACTGGCTAAGGAGTCCGCAAGTAAAAGCAAGAGTAAACTAGGAGGAGGTTCTGAGAAGACAAAATCATCATCCATATCCGAGCGGTCTAGCAGGAGGTTTGCCAGGTAGTTGGCGTAGCAATTGGCCTCCCTTAGCGTATGAATAAAGTGAACTTTCCAGTTATGATTGATCATTGGTCGAATCAGAGTCATCAAAGATGTCTCATGAGCTTTCTCACCATGCCTAGTGAGCAACTCGACAGCAAAGCTTGAGTTGCTTTCGATGGTTAGTTTCCTGACACCCTTACTCCAAGCTAGCTGAAGTCCTTTCAGAACACTCCACAATTCTGCATTCCATGCTAAGCAAGTATCAATTATGTAAGAAAAATCATCTCTCAAGTTGTCACTTGAGTCTCGCAGCACCCCACTACAAGGCAGCGACCCCTGGATTGCCCCTCGAAGCACCATCTATATTTAATTTAATAAATTATTTCGGAGGAGGAAGCCAAATAATAGTACGTTGGACTGAAAGAAATGTTTCCTTTACAAACGCATCGCACACTTGCTATGCGTTATCAATCAGAGCGAGATGCAAGTGAAGAGATATCCATATGAATTATCAATATTAAGATAAGATACAATAACCAATTATACGTCAAATAATAAAATTATTTGCACTAGTAAATTTATAATTTACAACATCATAACAAATTCTTGGTATATGCAAAGCAATAAATTTATTAATATTTTTTAATATGATACATGTCCATTTCAAACAATAATTTTTTTCAACATAGTAGTATATAAGATATTAATATTGTGTATGAGATTTATTTGTCTAAACAACTAGCTCTTTTAAAGCATTCAAGAATTGGTACTGTTATATACTCTAATTTATCTTTAATCTCTATATATGAAAATAGACATGTTATTTTGAATTGATGAATAAAAATATACTAAAAATCATATCATACATAATGTCACACACTAATATCTCCATACTGTATATTAAGAAAAATGAATTAAAAACATTTTGATACTAGTCTTTGTAATTTTATTTTTTTTGAGTTATCCAACTCTAATTATTTCTTTAAGGCTAGTTAGTTCGCTCTCTCGGTATCTCACAAGCTTCGACTCTTTGAGCCGGCTATGAGATTAATCCGGAGTCAGGGCGGGTAGGGATGAAGATATTTAAACCCTCCCAAAAGTGTTTGTAATTTTCATGGAAAACTTAAAAAAACTCATGTGACTTTCTTCATAATTATTTACTCCCTCCCAATATTTCGAATCATTTATCTTTCACTTAAAATTTTTTTTATCACTTATCTCTTTAAGGAGATAAATGATAAAAAAAACTTTAAGTCAAAAGAATAAATGATAAAAAAATTTAAATAAGAGTATAAATGATTTAATATTTTTTAGAGCAAGTAAAGGATAATTAAGAAAAATCATTAGGAATTTTTTTTTTTTTTTTTAAGTTTTCCCTAATTTTTAATGTATGAACTTTTGGATCTGTGTACACGTGTTTCTTTTTTCTTGGCTACTTCCACGCCTTCTTCTTAGTTCACCAACCAACCAATGCATTAAATACATTTGGCACAGTGTCAAGTCTCTTTTTCCTTGTTGAGGTTTCTCTCTTCCAGAGACATCTAGAAGCTTCTTTTCTTTGTCTCTATAATTTTACAGCATCAAAGTGGTGGCATTTGCACTGTATTATCCATGGCGAGTTCGTCCCCGAGCACTGTGCTTGTTACTGGAGCTGGTGGTCGCACAGGTGCTCTCTTTTTCCTCTATTCTTTCATGGGTTTCTATTAGTTCTTCTTTTCTCGCTCAAAAAAAAAAAAAAAAATTGGACCACGAAAAGTTATTTTAGGTTTCCGCTATTGACTGTGAGAATTGAGGTTCAGTAATTTGCCTGGGTTATGAGAATTTGTAAATTTGATGATTGTGAATTTTGGGTTTTATTGCTTTAGGTGAATTTGTAAATTTGATGATTGTAAACATAGAATACTATGTATGTTTAATAAATGATAAGTATACAGCATGGAATGGTTATTACAAATTAGGATACAATGTGAATAACGATTTATGTAGTAGTCGCAAACTTGCAACTAAATTAGAAATTTCACAAGCTAGTACAAAACACAGGCTTTGGCTTGCAAATGCTGTTACAAATGTATGTTAAGAACCTTGTTCTTACAATGATTTTATTGTCAATGTTGATGAGGGTTGCAAAGGTTTATATTTGAATTTGGTGTACGGTGCCATTTGGATCTGCTTAAGGTATAATATCAAATGTGTGAATGTACATTTTTAATCTTATAAGTCTTTGTTTCAAGTAGTTAAGGTTGTTAGTTGACACTGGCTTATTAATAAAGAAAAAAAAAATTATTAAATCATATATGATTCTTTCTGGCTTATTGCATATGAGATTGAGACCATTCTCCTGACTGGTTTCATTGTCAAGATGTGTAGTTTCAAGTTTTCATATACATCATTTGCCACTCAATTTTGGTTGTAATAATAGGTTTGAACTTTGAACCAATTGTCAACTTTTAGTTCATACATTTTTGTCTTGGTTTTGGATGTACTTACTAGGCATATCCTGCTTTTTGTAGATAATATAGTTCTAGTTGAAGAGTGAGGATGGAGTCAGGCTTTGGAATCCAAGGATTTTAATTTAGACAAAGTAAGAATAGAGTAGAAGAAATGCAAATTCAGTGAGGCAAGGGTTAGTGATATTTTGGAGGTCAAAATTGGGGTCAAATCAAACCTCATGTTCAGTAGTTAGAGTTCTCGAATCCATTTTATAAAGTTACAGAGAGATTAATAGAGGTATCACACATAGGATTCAAGTTGCGTGAAAGAAGTGGAGAAATGCTTCAACCATAACTTGTGATTGTGAAGTGTCAATTAAATTCAAAGAAAAATTCTACCGGACAGCTATAAGATCAGCAATGCTCTATGGTATAAAATGTTGGGAGATGAAATGCCTTTGGTAGGATAGGTAGACCAAGGTTGTCAAACTTGGGAATCTATGTAAACTCGACTAAAAAATTTGTAAGTGTTTACCTAATACAACAGAACAGTGATCAATTGCTCATCATCCTAGCGCAGTAAGCATAACAGACAACATCAAAGTCAATATCAACATCACCTTTAATGTCAAACTTGTTGGGGTTGGCAGTCGATGAATCCAAAAAAAAAATCAAGATAGCAAGCATAACAAAATGGTGGGAATTGCTTATGGTTATATTTGAAAGTACATAACAGAATATGAGCACAAACAGAACACATACAGAACATGCAGTGAAGCTGGATTGAAAGAATAGACATAATTGATTTCACAACAGTGCCTACATTTTGTGTTTTCCTTGATGCATAAACAGTGCATGGAAAGGGACAGTCCCAAACATGGTCTTTTGGGCAATAACGATTTTCTGTGAATTTAAGTGAGTCTTAGCGAGTCCAGCCAAGTTTAAAGCAAGTCAGCTCGTTTCTCTTCCTAGGATCACAAACTACAATTGTATGAGTTGACTCGTGAGTTTGACAACCATGGGGTATAGATACACTAAAAATAATATTAGGAATAAATGCATCCGGGAGATAGTTAAAGGAATACCACCGATTGAGGAAAAGATTAGGGAAAGTCGCTTAAGGTGCTTTCGTTATTAAAGAAGACTAATAGAGGCTTCACTAAGAAAAGTGGAATTTTGGTTTTTGATATAGCCCAATTTACTCTAGTCCCTAGTGGGATAAGGCTGGGTTGTGTTTTGTAATGATTGAATGAGCGATGCATTTGTGCCGGACTGTCAGTTATGTCATCATACAGAACTAGATAAACTATAAATTGATTTTATATGCACTAGCTAGTCTGAAAGTTGAACATTGTTACATTTGCTTCATCTTCACACTCTCTAATTGAAGAGACAGTTGTCCACATAATATTTGTATTTTCAAGTTTTCAAGTTAATCTATTTTAGCAGATTGATTGAATGTGCCATATATTTGTTCCTGTTGTCATATGATATATTAGTTACTTCTACAAGAAAGAAACATATATTGACCTTTGATCATACAAATTATAGTAGCCTTTCTGATCAATTTATTTTATATTTGTTGTCTTCTTTAATTTTCCTTTAATCTGAAAGTTGAAGCTAGGTCTAGTTATGACTACTGCTTTTTACCTCTCTTCTTATTCCGTAGAATTGTAGATAAAATAAGAGACACTTTTCCTTTTTCTCACTAATTGAGAATTCTTAATGTGATTGTTTGGTTAATTTTTCAGGACAAATAGTGTATAAAAAATTAAAAGAAAAACCAAATCAATATGTTGCCAGAGGTCTGGTTAGAACAGAAGAAAGCAAACAGAAAATTGGCGGTGCAGATGATGTTTTTGTTGGAGATATCAGAGATGCTGGAAGTATTACTCCCGCAATTCAAGGAATAGATGCTCTCATAATTCTCACAAGTGCAGTTCCGCAAATGAAGCCTGGTTTTGATCCAACCAAAGGTGTAAGGCCTGAGTTCTATTTTGATGATGGGGCATATCCTGAACAGGTGCCTTTACATATTTCCTATGTTTGGTTAAGTACTTTTTTAAAAAAAATAAAAAATTATCTCCTTTTACTAATATCATAGCATACCTTTTTATATAATAGGTTGACTGGATTGGACAGAAAAATCAAATAGATGCTGGTGAGAATCCATGCCTTGTTTCCATTAATCATAAAGCATAATACTAAATCGCTCATGCTTGTGATATTAAAATTGTATTATCTCTACGAACAGCTAAGGCTGCAGGAGTGAAGCATGTTGTGTTGGTTGGGTCTATGGGTGGAACAAACCTTAACCATCCTCTGAACAGCTTGGGTAATGGGAATATATTGGTTAGTCATATTTTCTCCACCACTTTTGAATCAATTCATTTTAAAACAGAACGGCAATGCTTTTTAATTTGAACAGAGCTTACACTTCATTTCAAAAGCAGAGTGCAAGCTTGGTTAAAATATCTGATATAATATAATATATATATTCATATTGATCGTAGGTTTGGAAAAGAAAGGCTGAGCAATATCTGGCTGATTCTGGTATTCCATACACAATCATAAGGTACGCTAATTCCTGTCCATATTGAGGCGTATAGCTGTTGAAGGTTTTTGAGATTTGTTTTCCTTCTTGTTTTTGTTCTTATCATATAATGTATCAAGTTTTAGACTGATTGACCATTTGCTTGAAATTGTGTTTTAAGTAAGCAAAGTATTTGTGCGCCTAGTGTTTTTAGTAACCTTAGCTGCACCAAGTAACTCTTTTTAATCAACTCCAGACATTCTTATTTTAAGATGTGGTTATTGAGTTGAAAAGTTTTAGAATTCTTGGTGTTATTTTCTGGGGTAAAAAAGAAAGGAAATGCTGATATTTGTAATTGTATAAGTAAACATTATTATCTCTTATTCTTGAGTGAATATTGATACTTAATGTGCTCCTTGTATATGAAAATAATTTAAACATATTTTGGGAACAGCAATTGATATTGATAGAAGTATCTGATGCTTAGCAGTACAAATACATTCACATCCGGTTTATTCATATTACTACATATATAATTGCATGGGTGCCTTTGATATAAAAAAGGGCAACTCCTAGTGTACGAGACTCCCTGACTTGCAAGGGTAAAGGTGAGGGTCAATTGTACGGAGCTTTATCCTTGCATTTTTCAAAGAAATTGTTTTCTAGATTCAAGCCAGTGACCTTCCAATCACAAGGAACAACGTTTCCGCTTCAGCCCTCTGGGTGTCTTCAACATACTTTATTATAATTATTTTTATTATTTTGAGCACAATTGTTTTCAATGTACTTGTTGCCAATGCATATTTATATTCTTGGGGAGTTGCTTTCTTATCAATTTGTTATGAGATTGTGTTTCCTTTCTTTACATTATTTTTCACCTTCTATGCTGAATTAGGCCTGGTGGCTTGCTGGATAAAGATGGAGGTCTTCGGGAGCTCATTATAGGGAAGGATGATGAGCTTCTCCAAACTGAGACCAAAACCATACCTAGAGCTGATGTTGCCGAAGTTTGCATTCAGGTATATTTCTATAGAACTATGTAACCAAATAGACATAGTTTCCCTATGTACCAAAAAAAATTCCCCAAAATTTCAATTCTTAAACTTTTATGAGATTTGGATCTGAGTTCTTCATTCAATTGGTTTAACAGGCACTGAATTTTGAGGAGGCTCAATTCAAGGCTTTTGACATGGCATCAAAACCTGAGGGAGCAGGTGAACCAACAAAGGACTTCAAGGCTTTGTTTTCCCGGCTCACTTCTCGATTTTGATTTTGATTTTGAATGCTGTTATCATGGTCTATATCCTTATTATTATCTAAGTATGGGGTTGAACCCTTAAATCATTAGTGCTATGCTGTCTTAATCAAATCTACTTTGTCTTGGCAATTAAGTTAAAGATTGTCTAAATCAAATTAAAGACTTTTCATAGTACCATTCAAAATAATAAATTAGATTGCTTCAATTGTATCATTGAGCACATTTACAGTGTTATCATAGTAGGTTTTCTCCTTTATCTAAAGCAGTAAAAAATGAGATTCATGAGCATTAACAATAGAGGAATAATTGGTTTTAAGTGAGTTTATTTATTCATTTTTAATAAGTGATGTACTGTTGAAAATAGTTTTTCATTTCACGTACTCTTAGATGCTGAAGTGAACTAATCCAATCATTGTTTATGTATAAAGCAAAATTTGGGATTTCACGGCAAGATGTTTACAAATATCTGGGTTTATAGATCATACAGCTTCATGGGGTACGTTGAATCCACCAAGGATTCAGTTTAATGTTTATCCCAGAGTGTGCAAGCGAAGGCTTGAGCCACAAACCACACAAAATTTGTGTAACGGAGCAGTTTTAATGTGAATCCCTCGTGCTGATATGGACTTTGGTAAACAATGGAAAGTTTCAATGATCCTGCGGCACTTCAATTCAGTTCAAACGTAATATTTTCAAATTAAATTTGATTCAAATTAAATAGTCAACAATTTCATCCCATTCTTGGCCAATCAACGTGATTGACACACCTTTTTCTTTTGAAATTGTTACTCAATGTAATATGAGAAATATAATGTAATTTTCTATGAACTAGCCAATACATCGCAGGCCCGCATCTACCTCTACAATTCCTGAATACGAAAGAAATTATGAAACGCGGGGTATTGAAGTGGTTAATATATGGGGTTTAAACTTTACGGGAGAATTTTTATTTTTTTTCCTACTGACGGCCCACATATATAAAAAAAAAAAAAAAAGTATGGAAATCGATGTCTCACAGCATAAGAAGACACTTTTTCACTAACAAGAGAAGGTTTTTTTCCATATATATATATATATATATATAGAGAGAGAGAGAGAGAGAGAGAGAGAGAGAGAGAGGATACTTTGACACATCCTATCTGTTGATTTTCGTTAATCAACGGTTATCATTTATTGACAAATTAATCAATGTTATTAAAATCGGCCCGGTCAATGACCCGGTCGAGGTACTGGGTCACTGGTTCAACCAGTGGGTCACTAGTGACGGGTATTCCCGGGATGAGCTTTCTCAAAGGAACAAACGAAATGAGATTCGAGGCTTTTTGTTCTACCCTAAGGGGAAACTTCTTTCTTTAATAAAATACGACTCATATGTGAAAGAAGTAGAATTTGCTTCCCACCGTAGCGAACCCTATTCAGTTCTCAATCTCCCGATAGGGAGTATGAAGCCAGCGTCGGTATCAGCAGCTGCCGTATAGGGTCACCACTCCCGTGCAACAAGAGTTCCGAGTAGGTAGTAGTCTACCCAGAAACTCTCAATTACTGCATTCTTGTCGCCTAGGCATAATTGACTTCGATACGATAGAAAGGGGATTCGTCAGGGAAGCCGGCTCGGATTATAAGATGGATAGACATAGACACTGGCCTTACTTCTGACTCTTACCCAGACCGGGGAAAAGATGCTCTATCTTTCCCGATCGACATTGTAAGGTAAGAAAACTAGCACTTGAAACAGACCGGTAGACTTGAACCTTGTTCCTACATGACCCGATCCATTCGATCAGACACTCGCCATCTATTTTCATTGTTCAACTCTTTGACAACATGAAAAAACCAAGTCTGAATGAATGTATAATACATACTTAAAGAATATGAAGCACAATCTCCAACTCTTAACCGGTGGCATCTTTGCTTGTACCTAAACCAATCATCATATCGGTCCCTAGGCCCCATTGCTGGAAAGGCTCGGCTTCAAAACCGTACGTCCTCGCTATGATTAGTTTACCCCGCCTGCACTTCAGAATAAATCGGGATAGCGAGCCTTCATTTCGCACGACCTCTTAACATTACACCACTGAATCCCCAATCCTTTGCTTGTTGTGCAGTGACAGTACCAATATCCACTAATCGTGGTTTCCAGGGAAAGTCTCTTATATACATACGTAATTTTATTTATTTATTAATATAATCATTTTCTTATTTATTCAATGACAGCAATAAGGGGGGAGAACAGATAAACTTTTCTATACAATCAGGTCCCCAGGGATGGGGCTTTCCAACTGAGATGGGGAGAATGCGCTCCTACTCTCTTTCCTCTTTCTTTGTTGCAATAGATGAGATTGGCATTGTCCTAGTTCCAATCCTTTGTCAAGTCAGTTAAAAGCAGCCTCCTCATTTGCTGCAGGTGAGATCATCTCCTTCGTTACCTAATTCTCTAGACATAGATCACATCACGGTAAGCCCCTATTAAGATTAAGATGGTAGTTCCATGGTTCGCGTGCGTGATACCGTGCCTAAGTTCTCTGTAACCACTTACGAAATAACAACCGAAGGAAGCTCACGATGCTTGGGGAGGATCGGGAGCGAGGGCTCTGCCTACTCAATTACAACTAACTAACCGCCTGAGCGAATTGCCGATCTCAGAAAGGCCTCCATCTTGCATTTTCACGTGCTCAATCAGAATTGGTTAGGTAGATGTGAGGAAAGAGCAGTGCTTTTCATAATTATGTTAGTTTCCAACCCCAGATGAAGACGCAACAATAAGTATAATTGCTCCAACTGCAACACTCCCTGCAACAATTCCAAGTAACTTTAACTTTAGTAACATCATATGATGATTATATTTCTGACCTCTATCCACAACATCCATCTAAAAGGGATGCGTTTACCCGGGCGTTTCACCAAAAAGAAGCATTCCTCCAATCGGCTCCTTTGCCTCTCTTCTGCGACAGCAGGCGAAACAAACACAGGGTGGTTTCCGGGCTCCGGTGCTCTTTATTATATTCATAGTGACACGTGAGAGATCTTACCTTTATACCCGAAGGTATACAAAAGGAACAACTCCCATATTGTCACTAGATTATGAGCATTTCTCCCTTGCAGGGCCTTGTCGGCCACCGCTTGCTAACGATGGAACGCATCGTCAAGGAAAGGGTCCTCGCGTTGGATTGAACCGCATGACCCGGTGATTATATATAAATCTACAATTTATATTATATAAATTATAAATATATTCAAATAAATGAAAAAATAATATAAATTCTAAATATTTTAATATAAAAATAAATAAATTATACATTATTGTCCAATAAAGGATGAAACAAACACATAATACTTGTTATATTGGTGTTTCAGGTTCGGTAAACGACATCTCTAACTATCAAATCAAAATTTCTTGCATAGTGCATAACTGAGATAATATTATTGTAGATACATAACTTATGTCAGTCAATAAGTAGTAGATCACTCAAATATATCAATTATGATTATTATTTTTATAAAACCCGGGCTGGGTCGCCAATTTTTCACCAAAATCGCTCGAATCGCACCGGGTCGTATCGGGTCTGATACTTGACTTTGACACGAGCTGTCGAACTCGCGCAAATTAAAAATTAATTCTTTAGGGTTCAGAAAATTTGTAGTAGAGTGGAAACCCTAAGTCGTCTCTCTCAAGGAAATTGCTTGGGTAAAAATCGTTTATCAAAACAGAAATTAAAAGGGGGGTTTTTGAATTTTGGTTGAATAATTTAAAAAGGCAGAATATGAAATTGGATGTAAAATTCGTAATTAAAAATAACCAACCTAAGGTTTGGGTTCCATGGATGTCTTTCCTCGGATAAGAAGATATCAGAATCGTGATTGATTTGTCAATCGAATCAGAATCCTTATTTCCAATTGACAACCCTCTCTAAGCGATCGCTTAGCATTTGATCAAAGACGATGCTTCACTCATACAATCGCAGAGTATGAGCCCGCTTGATTTAAGGTCATAGGGTCAATCAACCTAATCATCAAATCTGATGATTAATCCCTTTCCATAATCGCAATCGCGAACCTCAGATTGAATATCCACGATCGCACGGTATCAATCTGAATTGGGAAGGGAAACAAAACTGATTTGAAATAAACGCAGATCCTCAAGACTAATCCATGGAATCCATTACCCTTAGGTTGATTAAAAGGTTCTTAGCCTCGCATGGCTAAGGTAAACATGATTAAAATAAAAAGAAGAGGAAGAAAAAGATGAAGAACAGAATTGAATAAAAACTCAGAGAGAACTTTTCTGTTGTAAAAACTGACTCCAAAGGGTTTCCTAGAGTCTCCCTTAAATAGCCGTCACGCAGGACGGCTAGGGTTTCACCGCTTCATCCCAAATATAAAATAAAAGCTGAATAAAATAAAATAAAACAATAAAACATGGCCTTGGGCCCTAAACACATTGGGTCCTATTGTGAAAAACGTCAAAATAAAATTCCAGCAAAACACGTTATCTTGAGATCAAGTTTCGACCATCTTCCCGTCTGAATTGGGCTTCAGTAGCTTAAATAGAGATTGTATCTCTATCTGTTAGCTGCAAAACACAACAAGAATGGAGTCAATCGGAAATCTGTAGAGTGAGATATGGTCAAAATACGGAAGTAGTGTAAATCTGAAAAATTATGACGAAAATCAATTAAACCCAACTAAAATCTAGAATTGTGAATTGACCCAAAAGACCTTTATTTAATTCAAATAAATCATAAAATACCAACCAAGAGTAATAAATAAGTGTAACAAAATATGAGTTATCACCGATCCAATGTCATAACCGGACCGGTCAGATAACCGGTTCACCGGGTTCCGGGTCGACCCGGCCAGTCCGATCCGGTTTTCACAACATTGGAATTAATAGTTTGATTCTCAATAAATAATAATCGTTAATTGGAAAAAATCAACGGTTCGAATTTGGTGTCAAATTTTAAAGTTTGACATGTCAAAGTATCCTATTCCATATATATATATATATGAGGTTATCGTTTCTCAAGTTGCTAGACGTGCAGCTAGAAACCATAACCATACATAGATAGATAAAAGCATTAAATACTGAGAATAAATGAGAATCACTGATCAGGATTACTAGCTGGACGTCCAGGATACTTTGACACCGATGTCAAACTTTGAAAATTGACACCAAATTTTAACCGTTGATTTCTGTCAATCAACAGTTATCATTTATTAGGAATCAAACTTATTAATTCCCAATAAATTAATTATTAACTCCCAATAAATGATAATCGTTGATTGGCAGAAATCATAAGTTAGGATTTGATGTCAAATTTTGAAATTTGACACCAGTGTCAAAAGATCCTATCCCTATATATATATATATATATGGTAGGATCCTTTGACACCAGTGTCAATTTTGAAATTTGACACCTCATCTGAGAGCCATTAGATCAAAAAAGATCAAAGACTCTGATTTGTAAGCATGTGACATCATTGATCTTTTTGATCTAACGGCTCTCACATGAGGTGTCAAAAGATCCTGCCTATATATATATATATATATATATATATATATATATATATTAACCGTTGATTTCCGTGCATCTAATAATTATTATTTATTAAGAATTAATAATTAATTAATGTCTGAGACCTAATCAATCTCAATAGTTGGATGCACGAAAATCGATGATTAAGATCTAGGGTAAAGATTATTATTCTTACACCGATGTAAGTTGATTATATATCAGTGTAAGTTACATTCTTAATCTTGTCCGTTGATCCCACTTATATCTAAGGGCTATGATTTTTTAGTAATATGATCAATTTATCTTCATTCACTCTCAAAACAACGTATTGTTGGACGTCAAGTGGCTAGAGATATGTAAACTTCTGTATATCGGTTCATTTTTTCTGCGGTGATTGTAGATAATTTATCTGCGTTGAGCTCAAAATGACATCATTTTGGAGCAGAATCAATGTGTTTTGGTAATTTTAATTTATTTTAGCGCTGTAATAGTCTTTACCATTAATTTTTTAATCATTCACTTCTAGGATTATGCAAGTGAAAGATGTCTAAGGCATCTTTGGAGATCTTCTTTGATTGAGTTTTGTGCATGTTTATCTTGGCTTGGAGATCTTCTTCATTTTTACTGTAAATGAGAATTTTGGATCTTGATCTGGGATAATTACCTCAGAATTTTGTAATGTGGGTATCAGTGATTGAAACGATATCTATCTATATTGTTTGTTTGGTTTCAGGGTGGAAAAGAAGTCTGAATCTGAAATTTTGTTTGATTTGTGGATTTGAATGAATTAGAGAGCAAGAATTGTATTAGGAATTCTTCTGAATCAGAACTTTACTTTGTTCAATAAGTTGAAGATGTCGAAGGCATCAGGGGTGAGATGCGTCCACGAGAGTCTGCAAGCTGCTTTTGACTCTGCTTTTTTTAGGGATATAATATTGTTACTATCAATGTTACTACCATATGTTAACTGTTGATTTTCATTAATCAATAGTTATTATTTATTGCGAATTAATAATTAATTAATGAGTTTGATTTGTGAAAATAATAACCGTTGATTGGCGAAAATCAACGGTTAAAATATGATAGTAATATTATTTGGTAATAACAATATCCTATCTCTTGAAAAAAAGGTCAAATTTTGACTTTTTTTTTGTTTTGTTTTTTTCAAAAGCCAACATCCAAACATTCAAAAAAAAAATTTAAAAGGACTTTTTTTTTATAAAAAAAAAGCACTTTTGTAAAAATAAAAGTCCATCCAAACACACTCTAAACACATGAGAAACTCTAAATATTAATCAACATATTTGTATGGCAACAAAATTATTACTATGCAGTAAAAATGGTAAGTACAAAATTACTGCAAAATTACAAAATTACTATTTTTACTATAACAAAATTACTATTTAGATACATAGTAATTATTTCCCATTTATTACTATTTTTACTATAACAAAATTAGAATAATGATATTTTTACTTCAACTTCACTATTTGAAATTTTAATATTTACTGGTTAATGAGTAATGTTTAATATATTAATAAAGGTATTGCTTTTTTTTCGAAGTCATTGCAGATAAGTTATATGCAGTAAGTTCAATATTACGTGATTTTGAGACAGAAATCATGATATTTTTGTAATTTTAATTTATTTTAAAGTTATTATAGTCTTTTCAGAGTTATTATAGTCTTTATAATTATATTTTTTTAATTTTTCAATCCCAAAACGACATAATTTTGAGAGTAAATGTAGATAATTAATCTGCAATAACTGTAAAAATATTTTTCTGATTAATAAATGAACGAGGAACAAAAAATGAGTAAAAAGCTACGATTGTGCCACTTGACACACCTATGTGAATTTTCACTCCTCTGAAAAAAAAAATGTATAAATCCTACTAAAAAGAAAATGCGGACTCAAATCCGCTGATACTAAATGACCCTCTTTGTTAAAACAGAGAATCAAATACCATATAAAAAAAATTAAGGAGGTAAAAGCAGCCGAATAACGATGGTCACGTCTTGATATGTTAGAGATTGCACGTTCAACTTCAAAAACATTTTTCGTGATACACTCCTCCAATGTCCCCTAACCCCTAATTTATTTGGTCTTTTATTTATAAAAAAATAAATATTTTGTGCAAACTTGAATTTGTAAATACAAAATTTAGCACCTTGGTTTTTATATTTATAAATTGAGCCCATACATTTTCATCAACAAAAAATAATTTTCTTGACTGGGAGAAAGTTTTAAGGCACTTACGCGAGTGGCGAGGCATCTTAGCAGCGGCGCGTGTGTCGGACCCTGATCCATGGCCACTCTTCTTCTCCCTCTCAACTCCTATCATTCTCTTCCTCCCACCTCAATTCCCCTCCAACTTCGAAACCCTAATCTCAGTTCACTCAAAATCAAGAGCAATCAACGCCACGCTTCGAGCTTTCGCATTCCCTTCAAAACCCTACAACGTTTCACCCCAATCATTCGTGCCTCGGAGGAAGATTTGAAACCTGAAACTGTGCAAGGTGCTCTCTCTCTCTCTCTCTCTCTCTCTCTCTCTCTCTCTATATATATATATATATATATATATATATATGCATGCTAAGCTTATTAACTTGTCAAGGAGCTTGCTTTTGACTGTTCATGTTTCATCAGATGGCGAGGTGAACAATTTAGGAGTTAAAGCTGCGCTCTGCATGTTGAGATTCTACAAAAGTAATCAATTTTTCTCGTTCCTTTTTTTGTAAGTTTTACTAAAATTTTGCGAGAATTAACGGAAACAACCACTTACAATCCAAAATTAACGGGAAAGGACCAATTAACAATTTAAAATGGTTAAGGGAATGGTTATTCGTCCTTCACCTTTGATTTTATTTTGTATTTAATAATCATTTCAACTCAAAAACTTTTGGGTTAAATTGATTGTTTTACGTTAGTGGCTGAAGTTCGGTCTTCATAACACCTATACTATTTTCGTAACACCCATACTATTTCAAAAAAATAAGTAAATATTATGGAGCTTCTAAGTATGGGTAGGTCGGCCTGATTCACTGTCCACCTTAAGTGAATGGCCTCTTATGTGAGGGGGATGTTAGAGAAATATAATATGAAAACCATTAATATTTTAGTTGACGTTTTGTTCATTATATTATATTGTTTGCTGATGCTGAACTTGGTATTGTTCATGTATGCAGGGGAAATTTCACCAATCCTGCCGAAGAGCTGTCGTTACATTCCGACTTGTAGTGAGTATTCTATGGAGGCTTATAAGAGATATGGAGTTGTGAAGGGTACAGTCTTGACTGCGTGGCGTCTGTGTCGTTGCAATCCCCTTGGTATTGACCACTAACTTTGATACGTGTTATGCTTACTTCAGAGTTTTTGTTTGAATTTAAGCTATATTTTGGCTTTAATTATGTTAGAATTAAATTCTTTATACATATTTAGGTGGGTATGGATATGATCCACCTAGATGGTTTGATGAGATTAGTCCACGGGAAGAAGTTGAAGATTGATTAATCTTGGGTGGCCAATTTTAAGGTGGTCATCGCTACCGCCTGAGCATTTTGAAGTTGTCTACTGTTCTCATGTGAGGAGATGTTGTGTTCTGATGACATCATAGAAATTGGATTAAGAAGAATGATATCTGTGATCGGAGAATATTGCTCATGATTAATCAAATTGAACATCTTTGTACAGCCAAAGAAAATACAGTGCTGAGACATAGAAGGATCTGCATATTGAATATCCTACATTTGTACTTCAACAATCACCCTTTTTCAATCCAACATGGGGACAGTCATCTGCATAAGGATTAATCTGTCCTGGATGTGTTATGCAATCATACCGAGATAAATGGTTGTTTTAGATTTTGTGTTTTATATTAGAAGATGCTGGCACACATTCTTTGACACTATGTTTTTAGCACACTCTATTATCGGGTGAAATTCCATATTGGCCCCACTAAATAAATGTATTTAGTGGGGCCAGCATGCCATTTCACCCAATAATATGTTGAAAAGAGAATTTCAAAGAGTGCGTTGCTAGCATTTTTTATATAATTTTTTATTTGTTTTGTAATAGAAATTCAAAATTAATATATCATATTTTAAATTGCTTCATTGAATTTTTATTTTAACTTAAAGGTTAAATTACTCATTTGGTCCCTATAGTTTCACTCAAAATTCAATTTAGTCCTTATAGCTTAAAACTTTTTTGAAAAAATCTCTGTAGTTGTCAAACAATGCAAAATAGTCCTTTTCAGTTGGGTTTGTTCCCTATTTGAAATCAGGCTATAAGGATCTAACAGGGACCATTTTGCATTGAATATTATTGGCCCATTTTACTTTTATTGAAAATTGTAAGGATCTTTTTAAATGGTTTTGAACTGTGAGTGGAACTATAGGGACCAGATTTAAGCTAAATAAAATGCTGATATGTCAGTATCTATACTTCTTCAGTACTTCGACTCTTAGCTACATCAGGAAGTTGTCTTATAGTTAATAGTAGATTATATGAAGCTCGCAAATCAAAATATGTGATATGTTTGACATTAATTGAAAGAAAAACTATAATTATTTCAATTTTGAATTAACTCAACAAGAATGCCTTGATGACTGGTTGTTTTGGGTTGAGAATTTTCGAAATCTTCTTGGCATAAAATTCTGAACACAAAAAGTCAGTTTTAAGTCGGAAATTTGGTAGGTTTAGTTATAAAACATTAAAAAATAAAATTGACTCAGGTGTGACTGATAGATGTAAAAATATGTTTTTTTCCCCTGGTGTGTGTATTTTATGTTATACTAACATATACCAAATACTACATAGCACATTAACATATTTGTTGGTGGGTTACTAGTCGTCAATTTACTTATTGCTAATGCACATTAACATTTGGTGGATGAGTTCGTCTGAATGTGTTGTGGGGTTGTGTTTCCTTTCTTTGCTGTCTTTCCTTCTATGCTAAATTGCTGGTGGCTTTCGAGATAAAGGCAGGTATTTGGATTTTGGTAACTAATTGCTGTAGAAAAATGTGTGCTTGGTCGAACCGAGAGTTGCTCGGGAATATTTCTTTCAGAGAGCAAGAATGTAGATTAGTAATCAGGATTGCCAACAGGAGCAATCTACTCTGACTAAGAGCAACCCTCTTCAACTATACGCAAGCGTACGTGTCAAGCATCATAGGGTATTATAGCCCCAGATTTATCGTCCTCAGGGAGCAGTTGTGAAGTAAGAAGCGCTAAAGGAAACTTAATTTGTAAAATGGAGCAATAAAGGGAATCACTATTCTCATCTAAGCTTCACAAAGAGCAATCTCTGAGCAGCTAGTTAAACAATGTTAATCATTCTGAACCAGATGAGAGCAGTGAATGACTTAGCATGGTCATCGAATAAAATGGCATCAATTGAAGTAACTTTAAGAGCAGTCAACGAAATGAAAGTAAGATCATCAGCTAGTAAAACACAGTTCAGTTATCGTGAGGAAAGGGTTGTGATAGGAATTGAGTTAAGATTAATTTCAGGAAGAAAAAGATCAAGTAGGTGTTACGGGTTCCATGTTATCATCCCTTTGGTTAACCCTGCCTGGTAGCATATTTTACAAGTGGATTTTGCTCCTTCCCTTGTTTTGCTATAGGTAAGCAGAAGGTAAGGCCTTACTCTCCACGTTACTCCATAGTACTTGGAGTTATATGCAAGGAAACCATGCTGCCTTCTCAAAAGAGCATGGATTCACATGGCAGTGCTCCCCATTCCAGGTGTTTATCCCTCCTTTCTTCAGGCTAAACTACCCCAGGATTTTGAGAATGCTCCACACGCCTTTGTCAGTGTTTCATCAACCGAGTGGTCCCGGGATGAGGTTGCCAGCCCAAAGGGTTTCACAAAATCAATAAATTAAACTAAAGAGCAACTCAAAGTTCATTTATAAAATATGTGTTCCTTACAAAGCTATCCTAAGACAAAAGGGATTACTTCTATGGAACCCTCACCTACTTAGAGGAAGTTAGCTCCTAGTGAGCATTTTTACAAAGAAATAGGAAAACAAAGAGACAACCGGTCCTAGGATGGGTGCTGATCTTTTCTCTATGAGGATTGCTTGTTCCTTTTATAGGGTTCTTCATTTGATCTCCATTGTTCCTTTCATCAAGGGTTGCGCTTTGTCTAAATCCTCTCCAATGGTAGCTTTGCTTCTTGCCAGCTTGGCCTTAAATGGAAGTGGTCCCCCTTGCTTTTGGCTCCCTTTGTGAGTATGAGTATCGGATTCAGGGCAGCACTTCCACCTTTTTTGCTGTAGCTGACGTGGTGGCTCCCCATTGCTCAGCTTCTTTGCTTTCGTACTGTAGCAGAGGCAGCACCTCCACCTTCTCTTCTGTAGCTGACGTGGCGGCTCCCCATTGCTTCCTTTGACTGCTGTTGTACTATAGCAGACTTCTTTTTCCTTTCTGCGCAACACTCCTTCTTCTCTCTACATTTTGTGGTTCCTTTTGATGGGCCTTAGGTGTCCTGAACAAAGCAAACTAACCCAATAGTTATATGTGAAAAAGATAATGTTAAATTTGCTCCAGGTCTACCTTAATTCCCACTTTCGGCATTGCTCTGGTCCACTATTCAAAACAGTTGCTCTATATGAAAAGAAGAAGGTTGGAGGGAGTGATTTATAACCAAAACATGGGTTTTGTGGAACAATTTACACTTAATGGGCCTCAACTCTTGAGGACTATCAACACCCCAAAACTAGATATTACTCGTCCCGAGTAATCCTTCACAATCAACAGTCTTCTTGTGGCAGGGTAATGCTCCTTGAGATTATCGATGAAGAGTTAACTTAACTCCTTTCATTGCTTCATTAGAGCACTCATCTGACTTGTGAGTTTCACCAGCTTTATTGTGTGTGTGAATTCTTCCACGCTTTTAGTCAGTTTCCCACAGAGTTGCTTCCGGATTGAACTTTTTGGCTTGATTTCTTCTCTTACTTTCTAGCTCCCTTCTCTATTTCTTTCTTTTCAGGTCTTTTAACTGGAAGTCAATTACTCTTGTCTCTGCATAGGGCTGACCTTCAACAGCATGCTCTTTGAGCGGCTCTTGCTCTCACCTTGATGACTTGAGCTCTTTGAGCGAAATTTTTGGAGCAGAGGAGCTGACCCTTCTCTTTTCTTTTTTTTTTAAACCAGAGAGCAGAGTAATTTACTTAAACAGCCTGAAGTTCTTTCCTTGGTAACTCAATAAGTCCACTGAATAAGAGAGTGTCCGATTTTTGGAGTGCTGCTTTTTGTGCATGGTGTTGCTCCAAATCAGAGTGATGCCTTATGTTGCTTTGTTAGAAACTGTAAACTCTTTAGGGCATCTCAAGGAGCAAAATCCTGGGCAAAAAGAATCATTGAGTAGATCAGGACACTTAGGACGGTAAACTTAACGAAAATTAAAAACAATATTTTTAAAATAGAACAGGGTGGCGAATCCCTGTTACACCACAAAAGTCATTTATCTAAGAGCAAAGTTAGTAACATTTCCCCACAAAACTTTCAGGCATTCATTCCAACAGATTTAAACAAGTTAAAAAGGATAGGGAACGAATGAACCTGGGGTCACCGTAGCGACCCTTAATGCTCTCCAGTTTCTTGTCTTGCTCCGCTAAACGGAGCATTTGTTATTGCTTCTGGAGGGAAGACATTTGGAAACGGTGGATATGGAGTTTGTCCCTTGAATTTTTCTCCCCAGTTACTGGCGAAGATTTGATCCCGAGCTCTATAGTACAATCGGAGTTGAATTTCCTCCTCTTTGTTCTTCACCAATTCATCTTTCAAGATCCTGATCTCCTCCTTCCAGTCTTTTCTGTTTTTTTCGTGGGCTTGCTCCTTTTCTTCCATTTTCTTGTTCATCATCTCTACTGTTTTCACCATGTCTTTCATCGCGTTTTGCAAGGTTGAGGATCCTTCTCCTTCCTCAATCTTCCTTTTCAGAGGCAGTGGTCCAGCATTTTTTATCTAGTCAAGTTCATTCTGCAGAGCCACCTTTTCTTTGTTAATGAGCAAGCTGGCTTCCTTCAGGGATTGCAGCTCCCTTCCAACTGTGTCTTCTAAGGCTTGCACTTGAGTGGCGAGAAGGTCTGCTCCGAGACCGAACATAGTTTGACATTGAGTCATGTCAGTTGTCTCGACTAGGAACTGCCTTCGTCCACTCTTTGCAGGAGCTCTCTTAAAGGGAAGTTTTTCCCTTCTTGGAGTTTTCTGAGGTTCTTCCTTCACATTGCCCGAAACTTCAGCTTCTTCTTCTTCCTCATTTCCTTCTTTTTCTTCTTTCTCTTCTTTTTCTTCTTCCTCCTCACTTTCCAATCCTTCATTGTCTCTGATTCTTTTTATCGTGGACTGATCAATGTCTGACCCTTCTGGAATTATTTTATCCGAAATCGGGATATTGGCGTTTGGACCAGACCTCTTGCACATTTCAGTGACCAGACAAGGGAAAAAGAAGGGGGAGTTTCTTGGTGCATTTGCCACCAGTTGTTTGTAAACTATCCTCCCAACGTCAAACTTCTTCTTAGTCAAGACGCAGAAGACCAGCACTGCTCTTTCCCAGTTTACTCTAGAGTCATTGCTCACGGGAATCAGACGGGAGTTAATAAAATGCATCCATACCTTTGCTTCGAATTTGAGTTGCTTCCTAGGGATGGATTCCTTGGTTCCCCAGGTTGCTTCTTCTGAGCCTATTTCTCGGAGCACTTCTCCAGTTATGGCCTCATCTCCTCGGCCAGCGCAGTATCTATCAAACTCATCTTGTTCAGCAGGAATTGAAGCAGTGTTGTATGCTTCGTTGATTTCTTCAGGGGAGAAGTCTACTTTCACGCCTCTGATGATGAGCTTTGGAAGATCTTCTTTCTTTATCCCCTCCAAGAATGCAGTCACAAACTCGGTGCGAGCTCTTGAGGGAGGCTCAATGAAGAGTTCCCAATCCAGTTCTGCTATATCCTCGGTCAGCCATCGGTCGAGATCTCCGTGTTTGGAGCTACTGAGGTCTACGCCTCGTTCTGGTATGACTGTGCGGTCGACTGTGGTTTGCTCAGGCTTGAGCTTTTTCCCTGTTCGGGTTCTCTTCTTAGAGATAGAAGCAAC